CACCACAATCTTAGGAATCTCCTCTGGAAGGATTTCCTCCCAGTTTCTCCCCTCTATAAGGGATTTCTGGTTGTGCAGACAGAATCTGCCCATGCTTTTGGTGCTCAAGGCTTTGCTTAAGATGTTCACAATCATGATGCTTGCTTGAGATCTTCAGCTGCTCCAGTGTCCTCTAAGTGCTGTTGGTGCAGTACCCCAGCTCTGTCCCATAGATGTGTCTGTGTCTCTGTGACTGGAATCAGCAATTGGCCATTGTGAGACAAGTACTCACTGGTCACCAGATGTCCTCTCAGAAAAGGTTTTGGGATTTTCTTGGCTCCAGACTTCCCATTCTGGCACGAATCACGTCCCCCTGCCAGCCCAACGCATTCTGTGTGCTGCCACCCAGGGACAGAAAGAAATGGGTCAATGCTTTGCCAATTAAAATTTCAGGAAACTTCATCTTCCCTGGTGCCAGTTGATAAGGAGCAATTAAAAATTAAAGGTGATGATGTTTTCACATTCCCATGGTTGAACTCTGCCTTGCTTCCCTGCGCATCCCACTATCACATTATTCCTCTCACCAAGGTGGAAGAAAACAGCCCAACTCAGCTGTGGGCACTGGGTTGGTGCCCCTGCTGTCAGGTGGCCCTGGAGACACTCAGGAAGCTTCACAGAGCCCTATCAATTGCAAACTTGCCTGGGGTGCTCATGTGGTTAACACAGAGAGAAGGAAAGGGAGGTAATCCCATAATTACGAACAGAAGATGATTTCCATGATAAGCAGATACACTGACTGAGCAAGCAAACAGCGCTGTTAATCATAATTGTGCTCTGAAGCGCCTACAAACCAGCACTCGAGCGATGCAAGACGTGCGGAGCAGAAGACACAGCGGCGCTGAGAGGAGGTCCCCATCCCACCACCAACCACAGCACGAGGTGCTGCCCAGCTGTCCTCCCACAGATAACACTGCCCCATTTAATTTTATGCTACAGGCATCAAAGCGTCAATCAGGCGATTGTAAATTGGTAGAGCTGCTGTTCATTTTGCCTGTAAATCAGGAGTGTGTGGCACGGCTAGACTTACGCTTTTTATATATGCATAAAATTAAAGTCGAAGCCATTGGCAGCCTCGTTAACACACTGTGTTAAAGACAGATGTCTGCATTGATTACACTCTGAAAATAAATGAATAAACATTTAGTAAGGTTTCAGCTCTGACACCTCACTGAAGCCAGCGCAGGTACCGTGATTTACACCATGAATGGTTGAGGAATACACCAATTGTATTGCCAAGTGCCTGCTGTTTGTTCATCTGCTAGTCCATCCAATGGACCCCTTGCAGTGTCCTTCCCTTCCTCATTACTGTGCTGGTTGTTAACAGAGCTGATGATGTTGGCATTGTTGAGGTATGTACATCATTTAGACCCTGTTTGGCTTTGGAAAGGTGGCTACAATGACATACAGCCATGTTAAGTGGTTACGGTTGACTTCTGCCAGCTGAAGACCTGATTCATGTCTGAAGTGGCGGAACCTGAACTGTTGGGTGGAAAATCGAAGAGCCCAAGTAACAGCTTTGCAGAGAGGCTGGAACAATGAGGCTGTGAGCAGATTGCTCTTGTTTGTTTACAGTGCCTTTGGCTGTTCTTGCTCATGGAAGGAGCTGACCCACCTCCACCCTTCCTGTGCAATTCATTAGAGAAAATCTTGGAGCGCTTGCATGGTGTTGGCTGAGATTAATGGTGACCATGACACGGCAATGAAGGTGACCAGGATTGGCACAGATGAGTCTGGTTTGAGCTTCTGCAACAGTCAGGGCAAAAGATAAAACCTGGAAATTTTGCAGAGTTCTCATTTCTCATCAAACCTATAGGTTGTTTGTCCATGTGTACCAGCAAGAAGTGTGAAACCAAAGACCCTGAGCTATGCAGTGACTGGTCCTGACTGCAAGAAGAGTCAGTTCACAAACCCGGTGTTGTGTGGTGCTGATGACTTCCAGAAAACTGAAGTGGACATAAGAGTGAACCATGTGTTCGAGATGAATCAGGAATCCCATGTGGATGACTCAGTCAAATGGCTGCCCCATTGGCAGGGCTTGAGGCGTTGGACGGGCTGAAGGAAAAATGCTGATCAGGATATGAACCTTTCTCAGGAGAGGTGGGGATGGGCTTTAGTCAGAACACAAGCTGTAACTGTGTGAGTGCACGGATGTTTGCACAGAAGGTGGTGCACTGAGATGGATGGAGGTACCCTGATGGTGGGAGACACTGAGGTCCTTCATGGACCTGCAGGCTTTCTCCATAATAAAGCTGTTCCTTCCTGCAGTCTTCTGAAATGCCCTTCCTGGGCCTGCCCACACAGAAATAAGAAATAGGAAGGCAGGATGGCAAATACATCCTCAGATGTCCACAGATTAGGCATCTAAATCTGAGCTCATCTTTGAAATTCCCTTGCTGGTCTGTGGGAGAAAAAGGCATTTTTAGAGCATGATTCATTGACCTATTTTAGACAGCTCCATAAGGACAAGATGAATCACCCTCTTGGGTGCCTATTTCTTTCCATTCACAGGGAGTTTGGATGACTAGCACAGATAAAGGCATTTACACTGTAAACCACAAAAGAGAGATGCACTGAGTGTCTTATGGGTTCCTCAAGGCAGAGGCAAATTGGAACAGCCCTGAAGTCCATTCTAGAGTCCCATTTCATCCACAACGCAGGAACAATCAGTGTCCTCTCTGCTTTATGGTTTCCATAACTCTTGGTTGTGAATGGAATTCCCATGTCTGCGCTGCTGCTGGCATGGTGGGCTGCTGTGCGTTTTGGTCTCTGCACGTCTCTCCAAGACACCAGCCATGTCAATCTGTCCCCATTGCCTCTGGTGTGAGCTGAGCACTTGAAGCTGTCAGGCTGCTCCATGAGTAGCTCTTCTGCCATGTGAATTTGCAAAACTGATCTGGAAACTGAACACCATCTGCATTTCTAGTGAGTTCCTCCTGCTTGGTACATCTGGTCAGGTTGGAGAGGTCTTAAAAACAGCTTTTCTTTGGGCATTTTGGCACTTTCAGCCCCCACCCAGTGAACAGAATGAAAACAGATGAGGAATTTATAGCTAGATCTGTGTGAGAGCTCCTATTACGATCCTGGTTTCCAAACTCTTCCAAGGTTGGGTTCAAGTCTTGCCTGAATGTTCATATTAATCAATTGCTAGTTGCACACTAACACCTACAACCTTCCACGAGAGAAACATGAATTCATTAGGAGGAAATGTTGACAACCAAGGGAGTACTGTTTTCTGCACACAGTACTGTTTTCTGCAACAGTGACCAAGCCTGCAAAAGTGGAGATGTTATAATTTAGTCCTGGCAAAAAGGTTTACACTTTTGGCCCTGTTCGTGCCCATGAAGCCATTCCACCACAATCCCATCATACAGCCCTAGGGTTCCATTTACCTTTCCTTTTAAATAATAACCTTTGCAATATCTCCTTACTTTGGCAGGTAAAGAGATATTTGATAATAACAGCTTTCTTACTGCCATAGCCTTGGCAGAAGGAAAAGCCAGGAAATTGGCTATAGAGGGTAGTTGTGATGGTCAACATGTTCTGGATGTAGATTTTTTTGGTGCGTGCTGAGCTGCACTTCTGTCACTGCTTTTTTGGTGTAACACTGCAATCTGAGGAATTAAAAGCACTTTTGAAAGCTGTACAACCATCTTGCAGAGCCAGCGTGCTTCTAGGACTTTGCAGACTCACAATGAAGTTATGGTTTTTCTTACAAGTAATCAGTGGGTTGCATTCTTGATGGCAAAGTTGTGATGAAGGTAGCAGATCAAAAAAGCACCAAGCAAGGCCAACCCAACTCCGGCTAAAGGTTTCCAGCCACCGTAGAAGAGAATTTGACTTCAGAGCAGCACGTTGAGGAGCAGCCTGTGTCAGGGCTCTCTGCCAACAGAGGAAAAGGCATTCCTCAGGCTTTAATCAAGGCAATCTTTCTAAAAGCTGATCCCTCTGGAGTTACACAACTGGTTTGTTCTCCTCCTGTGCCCACTGCAGCCCTCCCATTTCCACCATGTCCTGAAGCTGCTTGTAACCATGGGTAAGCACTCCAAGAGTAGAACAGAACACAGAGAAAATTGCCTCCTGATTTGATGTGATTATAAAGCTAATATTGCAGTGGTGAAGGAAATGGAAGTGACAAGTCCCTTGGCTGCATGATTTGAAGAAGTAACACTTAATCCAGCACTGCCAAGTGAAGTGCTGGGTGAGGCTGCTCACAAGCGTGAAATTGGCAAATTGGTGGCAGCACTCATTATCTCAGTCGTGTTTCATTGTGTGGGCTTTGCCAGGATGGGGTTTTTCCTCATCTTTCATTAGCAGGTTGCCTTGAAATGTGGTAGGAGATAAGCGGGACAAGCTCCATACAGCTGAGCACGTGCCCAGGGATGCTAACAGATAAGAGGAAATTGGGCATTTCTGGGCAAAGCCAGGCACACCTTGCTGCCATTCAGTTTTTATCGATCCCATAACGTTTCTATGGAGAACAGTGAAAGTTTTCTGTTGTCCAGTTGTAGCTTGGATAGTCCTGTCTCCTGGCCATAATAATTCTGAAAGAGGCATTACTCCACTCTTCCAGCAAATTACTAAAGATTATCTGTGCTAGAAGCTGATTACCAAGGAAAGGCTCCCACAGTTTGGTCCTCTTGCAAGTAACCACATTAGTAAAGATCTGAGTTTGATGATTTTCACAAATTCCAGTGGAACTCTGCCCAAATATACTTGTAATTGGGATTTTGGGTCTATTTTTTAAAAAACACGTTGTTGTTTTTAACTAGGAATGAAAGCTACAGTCCATTAGGATGATTGCTGGGTGAGCTCAGTATCCCTCAAACCTTCAGCATGGGCGAGGGTATAAACAATAGTCATCAGTGGTATTTTTCTGGCAAAAATCCCAAGAAGCTTATGATAAAGAGAAGATTTAGAAGATTTTAAAAAGCTTTTTTTTTTTTTTTTTTTTTTTTAAGTAAATCAATTTTCATTCTTTATCTGTATTCCCATCCTAAGTGAAATGAAAGCAAAATCTGTGATGCTGGGCTTGAGACGTACTTTGCAGCTGAGGTCAGGACACTGTGCTCTGTGCTGCCTCTGGGTGAGCAACAAAGCTCAGGGCTGTAGGAGTGGGGCCAGAGGTGCCAGAGGCTGGCTGCAGAGATCAGCTAAGGACCTGTACAGGAAGGGAACATCTCTCTGCCCAATCCATACAAGCAGCCATCCAAGCACCAAATGGTTTTTGCTCCACAAAAGCTAACCCATAACATTATAAGTGTTTCATGCAATATCAGTGGCTAGATGAAAGGCCGTTTTTTTCTATGGCTGAATCTGGATAATTGCATTTTAAGTGCATGCTCTCATTAGAAAAAAATTTTTCTCAGCAAGAGTGGTAATATATTGGCACTGCTGCCCAGGGAGGTGGTGAGGTCACCACCAGTGGAGGTGTTCCAGAACTGCAGAGATGTAGCACTCAGGGATGTGGCTGGCAGGCATGGTGGGATGGGTTCGTGCTGGCATTGGTGATCTGAGAGGCCTTTTCCAACCCTGATGATTCTATGAATCTCTATAAAAGTATATTCACAGCTGGGGCATTCATCAGAGGCCTTTTTGTAGTCAGAAGACAATGCAGGAATGGCAGTGAAGAGCTGCAGATGGCTGACCTACTGGGGCTGGTGTCCAGGTACCTGCTGCTAGCTTCCCTGCCAGCACGGAGCTGCCCTGCCCAGCTCTTTGAAAATATTCTCTTTAGAGCAAGGGGCAGCTAATTATGAGCTGATTTAGCAATTAGCATGACATGAAGAAGGGAAATATGAGTGCCTGGTTCCAGAACCATCCTAGGCATGGGGAAAAAAAATGCCAGTTTTAATTCCAGTAAAATTAATTTTACATTTTAATTAGAAAAATGAAGAAGAAAAAAAAAAAAAGAGCAAGTATGGATTGCTTTAGTAACTTATCTGGCTCATGATGGATTTTGTCTTATTGGCAGCAGCCATGGGGAAGACATTCAGCAGGAAGGAGTTCCACATCTTCTCAAGGGATACACAGACATGTAGCTGCCCGTGGATAGGCTTTCACAAAGAAAAATCCACCCAGCAGAGATTGGCCTGATGAACATCAGAGTGAACCCAAGCAGGTGGTTTTCTCTGCTCCCCTGAGGTCTGCAAAGCTCATTTTGCAAACAGATGGGAAAGGAAATCATGCAACCTTACCTTTGACGGCAGATATTTCAGGGGTAAAGGCAGACCTTTTGGCTTGTGCTGTGCAGCATCTCCTACCCTGGGGCTCTCTCGGCCAGGACTCGAAGGCTGTAAGGCAGAAAGTGATAATCCTTGGAAAGTAAAGGCTCCTCCATCACCATGAATTCATGACTGCCTTAACTGTCAGCCAAACCGAACTCTTGCCAGGGATCTCCAAAGGCTCTTCCCAGTTCCCACTGGTCCCACATGGTCCCTTCACCAAATCCCTCTCACGTCCTTCTTGAAGGGTCTCCAACCCCTCCTTCCTTGTCCATTTGCCTTCAGGAGGAGCACAGGCAGATGGGGCAGGGCTTGGTGCTGCTCTTCTGCTGCCCAGGCCCATCTCCACTGCCTCCTTAGACTTCTGGCATGGATCACTGCAGAGTTGATCTTCAGGGATTTCTTTGTGATGTTTCAATGAGTCTTTATTAAGCGCATGAAAGCAGCAATTTTTCTGCAGACTATAGCTTAGTAAAATATGAGATTATTTTCCCAGGGACGGCACAAAACTCATCCATTACATAAACGTCATCCTTTTCCAGATTCCAATGAAAAGAACGTGGTTTGCTTTATAGATTTATCAGAATTTGGTTGGCTTCTGAGGATTGCTTCAGATGGAAGAAGTCATTAATTTCTAAAATATAGCTTTAACTCCAAAGAGATTTATTTGGAGGGATGAGAACCTGACCAAGACTAATTGTTAGAAAGCACTCTTAACAATTCCCTCCTGTAAGTCATCGCAGTTGAAGTAACGTAGATTAAAAGATTATTATTTGAGTTTTCAAGTATCAATTATGCCTCTATCTGAATTCATTTGCTCAATTACTGTTTCTACTTCCAATACACTCTAGGAAAACAATCCTCGTTCTTTCCATATAATTAAAGTCATTCATGTTTTTCAACTGCTAAAACCTAGGCTTTTTTTCCCCCCCACCATTTGAAGGTAAAGCTCAACTCAGTTTCTTAATTTTAGCTGCTGCTGCCTTCTCGTCAATATGGTTAGTTAATGGGCAGGGAATCCCTGATCCTCTCAGGGAGTCCTGCAATTAATTTTACAATGTCAGAAGGAGGTTGCCTATGGCAACCTTTTCATTTGCTTGAGTGCTTTTCACGTGGGTTAAGAATGAAGAACTGTCAAGGTGTATGTAGGATGCAAAAGCACTGTTATAACGCAGCATAATTAAAGCTGTTTCTTCTCTCAAAAATGGCAACTCGTTGCATCTGAAGAAAAGAGTGATGAAGCTGCTTGGTGGATTCCTGACCTCCAGGACCTTCTTTGTTTTGTTTTGTCTGTGGTGGTGCTTTACAACAGATCCAGAACTGAGTGGTTTGAAGGTAGAGAAATTTCTGCTTAAAAATGAATGCGAACCCTAGAAAAGAACCTGCAGAGCCTACATTCAGTTCCCTGCAAATGCATCCTCTCCCAGATACTTCTGTTGATTTATGCATCTCATTGACATAAAGATCAGGAGCTCTTCCCTGTATGGAAGGAAAAGCCAGCCATGGGATGGGGAGAGTTCTGCAGCTAACTGGTCAGACTAGCATGCTGAGCCACCTTCTCGTGTTGAAGCATCTGGTGTGCATGGCATGGAACTGCTGGATGCAGAGGGAATGCTCTTCATGCTCAGCCTGCATCTTGTTCCCATAGAATCATAGTCCTTAAGGTCTGAAAAGTTCTCTAAGATCATCAAGCCCACTGCACATCCCCCAGGGTCACATCTCCATGGTTCTTAACATCTCCAGGGATGGTGACCCCACCACTTCCCTGGGCAGCGAGTGCCAGTGCCTGACCACTCTTTCAGACAATATTATTTTCCTAATATCCAACATGAAATGAGGAAATGAGGTTGTGGAAGGTCTGAGGCATTTGTTCTCTTTCTGAGCTGCTGCTGGTGCCAAAGTTCTGCTGAGTGCCCAGGACACAGAGAGGGGCTTGGGCAAATCCCACATTGCCTGGTGGATAGGCAGAAACTACAACATAGAACACAGTGCTAGCCAAGGCTCCAGGTAGAAATGGGCATTTCCAGTAGGCAGTCTCCCTTCTGATGAATAAGCAAGACAAGAACTCTGAAGGGTGAGTACAAAAACAGCATTACTGGCAAAAAGTCTTCCCAGTGTCCAGCAACGGCAAAATTCATGCAGATGATGCTTCCCCCGCCTACATGGAATATAAAGGTAACATTTCCTTTAATTAAAATATACCTGCTCCTCAAAGCTAATCTTCTCTTAATAAGCAAAACTTGCTGTGCCCTCTCCAACAACCTCTGCACACAGTGCTAATTAAACACGGCATCTTCTGACAATGCATCAAGCTGGCAGCAGGAGGCAAAATATGCCTTGGCAATGCCTGAGAAAGCCAACTGTGAGCCCAGTCACCACCATCCCTGCATCTTTGCACCACTTTTTTTTTTTTCTTTTTTCTTTTTGAGGTTCTGCTGCGATGTCATTTACAAAACAAACATGCAGAGAAAAACAAGCAAAGAGTAACCTGTAGCTGCTGCTTAATTTTCTGTCGATGTGAACAAGACACCAGCAATCAGCCAGCCTTTGCATCACTGCTATTGCTTTCCCAGAGAGAAAATGCCCTTCATCCCTGTGGATTGCCAGGAAAGGGAGAAATTATTCCTCCCCCTCCAGCTTCCCATCTCCACTGAGATGGTTTATCTCTCGGCTTGGAAAACACCTCCCCCAAAGCCCCACCTGCATAAGAATAGTGGAGGCTGCTGCGTCTCCCTAAATGCTCTAGATAAACTGGCTGAAACCGATGGAAAACTCCCTCAATGTTTAAAGCAGAACTCGAAATAAAAGGCTATACAACAAAGGTTCACGCAAGCCCAGCTCTCTCATAGTACCTTAGTATACAGGCAGCAAGCTGCTAACACCCTCCAGTGAAAGCAAGCAGAAGCTAAGGACAAAGTTCAGAAATCAGTATCAAGCAGATAGACATTCCTTTCACAGGTATAAATAAAAGCGTTGCTAGCCAGCATGATGGGATTTCATAATGTAAAGCAATATACTGAGAGCAAATGGCTGCTAAGTCCCATAGCACATCTGAGTGTATAACCTATGACACTTCTGCAAGGAGATTGCCAAAAACCTTTGGAGGATTTTTAGGAAAAAATGACATTGCACAGAGTTTCGGTGTCTTTCAGCTGGGAATCTGCAACTGCACAAATGCTATTTAGGTTGGATATTAGGAACGATTCCATCTCTGAAAGAGCAGTCAGGCACTGGCATTGCTGCCCAGGGAGTGGGGTCACCTTCCCTGGAGGTGTTGCAGACTATGGAGGTGTGGCACTGAGGGATGTGGCCACTGGGCATGGTGGGATGGGGTTGGATTTGGGAGTTTGGAGGTCTTTTCCAACCTGAATGATTCTGTGATTCAAAGGTATCTTCACTATAGTAAAAAAATAAAAAATTAAAAAAAAAAAATAGCTTCCTCACGGTGACATTCATTTGCAGAGAGGTGGCAGGGAAACCATGTGCAGCCACAAGAACAGGAGGGGGACTCAGTAACACAAAGCCACTTGCAACACTACACCACCACAGTCTCAGCAAAAAGCCGTGCTCTGAAGGATGCGGCAGACGAGCTCAGATAAACCTGGAGAGCATCACCCATCTGGGCCCTCTTTGTTGACGAGCTCAAAGCTTTTTTTCTCCCCTATAATAATATAAAATTTCTAAATTCCTCAGCTTCATGGAAACCAAAATTAAATAGTTTTCATAGTCATTATGACCACCAGCCATGCATAAAAATGAAAAAGAAGCCATTGAAGCTAAAGCTTGTCAAATAAATACACCAAACCTTTTACAGTACAGAGGCTCTTTGAGTCAGCAAACCTTTAAACATCAGTTGCCACGCAACGCTGGTAACATCAGATGATGAACAGCTCAGCAATGCGCACTGAATGTGGTAAATGCAGGGTTTCTGTATTTATGTATCACTATTTATTAGGGTATTTCTTTATGCTGTTGACAGTCCCTGATAAAACAAGGACAGGGATGCTATTAAAATCAGATCTGTTCCTGAAAGAGAAGATTGACTGGGGCTGCTCAGACGTAGCATAAGCTATATGGTATGGCATACGGTCCCTATAGGTCTTGAGGTTGCCAGAAAATGAGAAATTGTCTCAGCCAGCAGCCATCTGCCTGGAGTGAAACGTGTTTTCACAGGGTGAATAATTAAGCTGAGACGCATCTTTCACATCACAAAACGGAGAGGGCAGATAGGTGCAATTTTACATGCAACTGACAAAAATCTTTGGCCGTGGGTGGGAAAAAACATCAGGTTCTTTATCAGCAGGCAGGTAAGTGGATTTGGGGTGGGTGGTGCTTATTTCATTTCAAACCCGCAATGCTTTTCCAGCAGCGAAGCTTTTCTGGTTTCAGTGAGGTTACCTGGGGGCAGAAATAGGGCCCTTTCCCTCGTTTAAAGGCATCCCTGAAGACAGTGGTTGCAGGAATGATGATTAGAGCACAATACAGCAGCAGTTTTTCCTGCCAAACTTTCTTTCCCTTGTGGTCCCCATTTTAGAAGCTGTAATTTTCAGGAACTCAGCTTTTCAGGTGAAAGTTATCATTAATCCATGGTGAACCTATCAAGAGACCTTGCGGGCAAGAAAAGATGTGAACCTTCCTTAGAGGTTAGAGGATAAGGTGATGTCCTTGCTAGAGGACAAGGTGATGGCTCTGGGGACTTGGAGTCCTCATTAACACAGGAAGCAGTGCCCCCAAACTGCAGCACTTGAGGCTGTGCTGCCTGGGATTGTGCACTGGAAAAAAAAAAAAATAAATCCATCCTTATTACAGTAGAAGGAAAACAAAGAGAAGCTCTTAAAGACTTTGCTTTGAGTAGGATAGAAGTAATAGAACTGATTGAAAGAGTTAAAGCATGAAGTGAGTATATCTGCATTTGTAGAAAATCTGCACATATGGAGATAACAGCCCAATTTTACATTTGAGAGGCGACAGCATTCTATAAATATTGAAATATGATGATGTTGAGCAACTTGTGCCTGGCAAGTCCTCATCTCTTCTCCCATTTGGCTTTCTGTTAGTGCTGGAGCATCTCCTGCCAGCCAGGGTCCCAGCCCAGAGCCTCCTGGATTGAGGACCTCTGGCCCTAATCCAGAGGCATCTCCTTGCACCCCTTCCAAGCCTAAAGGCACTTGGCAGAAGGTCAGTTTGATTTCATGAAGTGAAGCAGCAGTTGCTTAAAGGGGGAAGAAAATAGATTGTCTTTGAATAAGCTGCGAGGCTCCACGCTGCAGGTACTATGAAAAAAACCACAGTGATAAGATGTGCTCCAGGCTGGGCAGAGAAGAATGCTTGTCCTTCAGGGGGATGAGCTGTGGGAAGCTGCAGAAGGACAACAGAGCCAGGGATCTGTACAATGGATCTGCATGGGAAGACCAGCTCCGTCTGCCCTTTCTTCACGCATCCAATCCTGCAGGCTTGATGTCTTTTTCTATTGGCTCTACTACAGAAGTGGATTTCCAAAACAGTTTTCCCTGATCACAGAAAACCATCCTTTGTGGAGTGCCACCATTGACTTCAGATCCTAAAGTGTGAGCTACCCAGAAATATTTGCAAAAGAAAAATGTGCTGGGTAGCACGGTGCAGCCTGACAAACTACTTATGCAGACAGGATTCTTTTGCTGCCTATAGTGCTGTGCACAGGGATTCCAGCAGGTCTGTGATTCCAGAGAGAGCTGGTGTGCTTAGATAAAGTACAGTTGGTGGAATACAGGCGAAATGCAGTTGGCTGTTTCTAGTAGCACTTGTGGCTGGCCCATGGCATACTGATGAGAGCATTTCTGAGAGCTTCACGTGCATAGATGAGATAAAATGTTAATTTTTCTGCAGTTTCCACAGCTGGGCTTGCTGCACAGAGGAAAGGAAGATGAAAAAGGAAGATGAATCTCTTCTGGAGAACAAAAGCCCAGGGACTTGCAGGTGACACCGTCAGGTTGACCTCAGCAGCATCCAAGCAGGAGGGCAGTGCTGGGCACACACTGATTCAGAAGTGATGCAGGAGACCCGTGATCCAAGTGACCTTACTGGCTGCCCTGGGTTCACAGGGCTCTGAGGGCATCACCACAGCTCACAGCCGAAGGGCAAGATAAAGGGGATGTTCTGTGCTTCTCAACCTTGATAGAAGGACTCCTGCATAGAGTGCCTATTATTTATGGCTCAGTCAGTATGAATTCAGCTATTCCCCATTTCAGTGTGCTGACACCCTCAGAGCCACACAACACAACCCTCACTGTGCAAACCAGGAGCTCCATTGCACTGCACACACCTCCCCAGCTGCAGCAGAGACCATAAGGCAACCCTAAATCACGGCAGAGGAAGCAGCTTTATTTCCATTTCAGCACTCGATTATTAAGAGCTGCTTTCCCTGTTTGTTTACTTTTCATCCCAGGGCTGAGGTATTTAAAGTCTATAGTTTTGACCCCAGTTGTGTCCCTTCTCATGAGGCCAGCTCTTTTTATGCCCTCTTAAATCTTCTTTCAATTTGCTTGAAACTCCATTGCCGTTCATCTGAGCCAGGACATTAGACAGGATGATTCTCCAAGACACACACTGCCGATATATTGCCGACGTACATATTTACTCCATCTGGTGAGTTATCTCCCATAAAGCTGCCCTTCATCCTCTGCATTTTGTTTTGCTCCTTTGCTTATATACCCAGGCTATGCACACTCTTCTTTTAATCCATTTTCTTTTTTTTCTTTTTTTTTTTTTTAATTCTCACAATAATAACTCCTAGCACAATTAAGACAAAATTAAGCATACTGAACAGTTCATATTAATTCTCCTTTCTGGCTGACTTCATCATACAGAGTGCTTCTTATGCTGGAAGGTCATTTGACTGCCTCCAGGCAGTTACTTGGTTGGTATTGATCTCAGCATCACTCTGCATTTGTGGGCTTGTCCAATGCTATCTGCCAGCATAATGTTAGCATGTAGCGCTGAAAGCAACTAACAGCTTTCAGTGTTGCTTCTTTAACTGGAATAGGGATATTGGAAGAGGTGATAGTTCTGAGAGGGTTTCCCGAGTATAACTTCATTTTTTAAGTGTTTATGACATTTTTGTTAGATCCCTTGTCCTCCTCTCTCCTTAACTCAGTCAGCAGATGGATTCATGTTCTTTCACAGTTGAAAGCTACTGATGCTACTGAAAGGCTGGGGGACAGACACAGATAGAAGAACCCTCTGCCCCTCTACAACAAGCAGCAGCTCTATGCTCACTGTATATCCATGGGTATCACCTGCTCTCTTGCAGCTCACTCATAGAAATAACCAGCAGCTCTGTCCTGGCTTAACATCTCAGGACAGTGCTGCTGGAATTCAGAGGCTCCAAGCACACACAAAAGCATTAGCTTCTTCTTGCCCCACATTAAAGAGAGATCAATTTCCAATGAGCAGGACTCAAACGCCAAACATAAACCTAAATTTGTTCACCTCAAAAGCAAAAATCTGACCAACCCAAGCTCCACAGGAACCCACCAGGATCCTCTTCTATCCTTCCCTTTGCTGCCAGCCCTCTACCTTCCAGCACAACCCCATTACTCCCATCCAGAGTAGATTACTTACATGCCCATCAGTCACATGGGAGGCTGGAGGACAAGCAGGTGCTGGTTACTGTTCCTGCAGGCTAAACAAAAGCAGCATTATGCATTTTCTTTTATAGGAGGGAACTGGAGGCTCTCTAAACTACCAACCAGGGACACCTGGCAGAGGTGGGAGTGTCCAAGAACAGGCTACATGTGGGTGAGTTGGGTGCTGTATGGGAGAATTGTGGCTAATGGAGAATAATTAGTTCAAAACTGTGACTTACATCTTGGCAGAAGTTTCAGGATAACTCTGGAAATGGGACTGAGAGAGCATTTAGTTGCTTTTTGGGGAAGCAGGAGCGTATGGGTGTTCTGATGAAATATGCTACACTGCATCTCTAAATAGACCTGATTTGTTTCATCTGCTTCTAATTGAGGAACAAACCAGCCAGGCCCCAAAGACAGGCTAAAGCACTCAAGCTGAAGTGACAAGTATGCTGTCAATCACTTGGAAATGGGGATGCTGCCCTTTATTCACCCTCTGCAATGATCTTTGGCAGAATATGACAGACTGAGAGAAGTAGCTGAGCCTTACAGAGTACAAAAAAAGCATCTGGGGAAAAGCGATAACAAGGGGTGACACGTGTCCTGGATGCTGTTAGCTTCTGAAAAGCAGATTTGGCTGTGCCCATTGTGCCAAGGACAGGCAGCAGCTCTCCCAGACTCTCGGCTTTGCTTTGGCTTGGGGTCTGACCTCATTTATTGCAAGCAATGGGCAGGAGGAATCCCTCTGCTGTGCATGAAGACAGAGGGGGTAGAGCCTTTTGCTCATCAGGGCGAAAGTATTGCTGTGTGAAGGGAAGCAGCATGCCGTATCAAAGTATCAAGGGGGGAAGATGAGCAAGAAAAGTGCCTGGAGATGGGGTGATGCTGCAATGGCAGCTGTCAGCACTAGGGGACCTGCTGCAGAGGGGCTGAGCCATGGATAGAAGTGCTGTGAGTCCTGCCGATGCTTCCTGCCAAACAAGAGGCAGTGCACTTGCAAAACGTGCAGATTTTACACTTGGAAGTCAAATGCAGTCAAGGGGATTCTCATTTTATGGTGCGTATAACACGTGTACGTGAATCCTCCGGTGGAATATTTAAATGGTAATCCATCCCTGAGCACTCTAAGGCAGTAGTTTTCCTTCCGCACTGAGTAAATGGCAAAGGACTGTGAGAAGAAGAAAAAAAGGAAATACAAATCACTCCTGCAGCAGCAACTGTGTTCTTCTACACACGGCAGCCTCATGTGGGCCCTTTGTGCTCAGATACCCTGGGGTAAAGAGGGGGACAGGAGTGACAGAGGTGTGATGGGGATAAGGCTGTGAGCAGGAGAGACGCCGCAAAGGGAGATGCTGATGAGGTCAGCCTGGGAATCCTCACACGGCATTACACAGCCAGCTGGTTTCTATAGAAACAGAGAGATGGGGTTTAGCGTGCTACATGAACAAGTTTTAATGTCGGCACTTAACAATAAAAAAAAACCCAAACCACTAAAAAACACAACAATAGAAATACAGCGAGGGAATCCTTATCACATGTGCACCCCGTGGCTTCCCTCGGCTGTGTCAGCACTCTGCTCTGGAGCACTAGCAGTAAAAGAATAAAAGATTAGAATAGAATATGCAGAAATGACTCAAAACAATGCCTAGATTTTCGCTCTTTATGCAGTGAGTATGTTAAGAAAGTCAGCTCATGCATTTTTCTGTATGATTTCAGTGCAGGGTTTTTTATTCCCAGTCTTGGAGATGCTCGCCCTACCTGGACTGCTCAGGAAACCATCCCTGCTTGCACACTGGGACTCAACCAGCTTGAGCATCAGGTGATTTGAGGTACCCAGGTAGGAACTAATTCAATAGGCAACGCAACTGCGCACCCCATTTTGGGGCATCTATCAGAGCAACAGGATGAAGGAGCCCAAAAACCTGCCCTGTCTCCATTTCTGTTGATACAGATGTTGTGCCTTCTGAGAGGTCAGCCAAGCACAGTTTGCAAGAACTAAAACAGCTCAGAAGTAATACAGAGGAATCTGTTTTGTTTTTCTTTAAATCCCAGTGAGACAACAGCTGCTCTGATATAACCAGCCCTATCATCTTTCCCAAAGAAGTGCAAATTGGAGAGGGGAAGGTATGAAACAATTGTGCCTTGGCGATGGAAGGCTCCTGAATGTGGGGCAGTGTGAGCCCTAAGCAGCAGGCACAGAGCTCTTTGGAGGGAGGCTGGGACAAGCCATCATCGTCCTCCTCTTCCTCCAACACAGTGTGCTCCCTTCTCTCCTCCTAAATCAAGGGGAATGTCCAAGTATCTGCTCCAATCCAGCTAAGTGATCAGTCCCCTTTGGCACAGGGAATGTCAGCAGTGTTTGCTGAACACTGCATTTCCCCAGGAAAGTGCTTGTGTTTGGGGCATCCCCCAAAGCCATGCTGTGGCCCCAGGACCTCAAACACGAAGCCAATGGGACCTTGTGCCCAAGGTATGTGCTTGAGAGCATGGCCAGTGTCACGGCTGGGCACCTCTTGGCCCTACACGTCTCAGGGCTGGAAGCATGAACTGCAAAATTAAATCTGCTTTCCATCACTTGGAGGGCATGAGAAGAGGACTCAATGGCTCCTACGAAAGAACCCTTTGCTAAATTACTGTATCTCTACGATGCTCCAGGAAACCATCAAGTCATGTAACACATTGTCGCCAGACAGCAAATCCCATTCACCTGGGAGTTTGTCAGCGTTGTGGATGGAGAGGAGGAGGAAGAAGAGGAGCTTACTGGGCTCCCTGCATCTCTGCTGTTGCAGAGTGCAGAACCATGGGAGTGTACCAACCATGTGCAAAAACACAGGATTTTCAGCACCAGTAACTAAAAATGATGGAGTCAAAACTAAAAGCATCCTCAGGAATAATCCATGCAGCAGAACCACCCAAATTACACAGTGTCAGGTAAACACAGGAGCATGAAAGCTGTTTGAAGGAGGACTCTTACTGTACTGATGCTAATAAGAGCAAAATAAATCATCTTACTTTTACTATAAAAGTGTTTTACACCATTCAATTAAAGCCTCTGAGATAAAATCATTTCTCCTGGGTGTTTTCCTTTGCTCTTCTCTTTCTGTCGGAAGTCATTTCAATATTTTACTATCTTAGTAATAAAAAATACATAACAGTGTGCCAGGCAAGCTCAGTGCAGCAGCCTGCCTTCTCTATGAAGAAATTCAGAGCAGCCTTTTGCATTGCTTTGTACTGGAGACAGAAACGTGTGCTGGGTGCAAAGGGGCTGCGATGGGAGCAGGGCATTTTCTTGGGGCTGCACAAATCAGGCCAGGTGCCCACACATGGGGCTGTGGGGAAGGAATGCTCTGCCACACTCCTGTTTCTCTCCCAAAGTCCAAATGGAAAGGAGGAAAAGGGGAGGTGAACCAATGCTTCCCTAAATCTTAATGAGATGGTGCTGCCCAGCTGTATCCTTTAAAATACTCTGTGCTTAAATGGTCCCAAGTGGAGCAGTGTATCCTTTTCCCTTGCATTGTTTAAGAAGAGCAATAAATCTACAAATGCTTTATTATTCAATCCCACTAAAAATGCATTAAGCCCTTCTGGCAAGTTCTAGCTCTGTAAAACAATTACTTGATTCTGATGTTTGAAATAGCAGAAATCAAACAAGACATCGCTGGATACTTTTCAGACCTCACGTTCCTTCTTGGAATGGATTCTCCACCACTGAGCTGATGTCACTAGAAAGGAATTCCTTCAGTTAAAAAGAGCAAGGCAAGTTTAAGGTAAACACCAGGAAAAGGACTTATGGGGAGCTGTGGGTCCATGCAAGAAAGAATCCCTTATATCTCAGGAATGTGCATCTGTATACATAAGTGTATGTAAAATTACTTTTCTTGTACATCCTTTAAGAAAACTCCCTTCTGTTAGACTTAATGTTTTTTTTTCCTTCTTGTGTAAGAACAAAGGGATAAAAAGCCCCTTAGGAAACAAACATCCCATTATGTCAAGCAAAGGCTGCATTAATAAAGGATGAGCAAGGAGGGGGCAGAAGATGCATGAAACTGGAGCAGAGCTCTGAGCCTAATTAGACCGTTCTCCAAAATTTCTCAGGAGGCACTTGCGGAGGCTGAGGAGGTAAATATTTTATAAGGGAAGCTCCCTTTCTCTTCACACTTCTCCTTGTGCCTTCTCCTGAACTAATTAGTTGCTTTGTAGAGGGAAACACTGCTAATTTTAGCCTGAAGGGGCCCTGTGTGGAAAGCATGGGGTGTTCCTGGTTGGCTGAGAAAGGCATTTTGGCTCCTACCTGAGAGTAGGGCTGGTGGGGGCAGGAGGAGGGCTTTGTGCAATAACAGGGTGAGAGTGCTCTGCTAGAAGATAGGGTGGGCTCACACATCACCCAAATGGGTACATGCCCCCATCAGATGGGACAACACAGTGCCCTCTGTGTCCTTCAGTTCCTGCTGCTTGTTTCATGGGCAGCCCCATCTCCCAGCAGCACAGCATGGTTGAGTTGGAAGGGACCTCCCAGCCTCACCCCTATGGACTGGCTGTCCCCACCCCCCAGCTCAGGCTGCCCAGGGCCCATCCACAGCCTCGGGCACCTCCAGGGATGGGGCACCCACAGCTCTGGGAGCAGTGCCAGCATCTCACCACCCTCAGCTGCAGCTTCAAGGCCAAGGTCAGGCACACGCGGGCTCCTGCATGCAGCTGGGAAAGATTTTTTTCCCCACTGTAAGCAGCTGTCTGCAGGGCCCATGCTGCCAGCACTGGGACAGAAGCTTCTCCATCATCACAGTGGACACTACAGCATGAAGACGTCCCTGCTCCATCCGGTTCAGCAGACTGAGGTTCACCTTCTAGCTGTCTACACCCTTCTTAATCAAAGACTTTGCAGACTTTTGTTTGCTGCCTTCTGGTATTTCAGCACATGAGATTCCCAGCACTGGAATTACAAGATGTCCCTTTGCCAGGGCAAGTGCTTTCCACTTTAGCAATGTGACACCAAGGACACGAGTAGCATAAAAAGCAGAATCAGGAGAAGCACATAGTGCTTTTTGTG